AATCTCTAATAGTGGACCTCTCAGTCTAGGCGGATGCACACACATACAGAGACTTCCTGTTACTTTTCAGGACACAAGAATCAAGTCATCACCTTAAAAAGGTGATTTTATTAACTAAAAGATATACTTGATAAAGCATACTTGGTTGCTAGGTGTTACAAAGCAACCAAGAACAGATTAAAACACACCTAACATAGTCTCTTTGGACTGCATCTTTGATACGGTGAATGGGAAAGGGAAGGTACATGGATTTCATACAGAGAAGCTTAACCAAACAACAAAACAAGGAAAATAACCTGATTGTGATTAAATATACATTTCCCCTATTTACTCACAACCCCTTCATGGTCCAGTCCATTTCCATGCCCAGTATTTCTTGAAGGCATGGTAGTTATACCTGGATTTAAACTCCACAATGAGACGGCAAGCAGGTAATCTTTACAATTCACATTTCAGTACTGTATCTCATTGGTTCTTCTGGCTCCCTGCCAACACCTCTAGATCCTGAGTTTAACCCTTTAGTCATCAAATATTGGCCAGCACTCCTCCTATCCAACACAATGCATGATTCTCTTCATTCCACTCATACTGGTATCCAGATTGACTAGATCATCTGCAAAATCTACATCTCACAGCTTCTCCCTTGCCCAAACAATCTCTCTGTCCTTCCGCAATGGTCATCGCTTTTCTCATCCCCTCGTGAGTCACACAGGGGAAGGCTGATCAAAGGCAATCAAGGGAACAAAGGTCAGGCACTCAGTCCCAACTGCCACAGTAACTGAAGCTGCTGTCACCTGAAGTCAGAATCAAAATTCAAACAGTTGAGCAAACTCACACCAAAAGCTAGTACTCTCACCTGGAAGAAGTGGATGAGGCTTTTTTTAAACAAAATCATCCAAATTGCAAGATTTGATGGTGATGGGGGACTTCAACTATCCAGATATATGTTGGGAAACTAACACAGCAGGTCACAGACTAACCAATAAGTTCTCGGACTGCATTGAAGACAACTTTTTATTTCAGAAGGTTGGAACAGCTACTGGGGGAAGCTGTTCTAGATTTGATTTTAACAAATAGGGAGGAACTGGTTGAGAATTTGAAAGTGGAAGACAGCTTGGGTGAAAGTCATCATGAAATCATAGAGGTCATGATTCTAAGGTATAGGGGAACGGAGAACAGCAAGTTCGGAGAGCTGGTAGGTAAGGTTTCATGGGAAGCAAGACTGAGGAGAAAAAACTGAAGAGAATTGGCAGTTTTTCAAAGGGACATTATTAAGGGCCCAAAAGCAAGCTATTCTGCTGCGTAGGAAAGATAGAAAATATGGCAAAAGACCGCCTTGGCTTAACCATGAGATCTTGCATGATATAAAATAAAAAAGGAGTCATAAAAAATGGAAACTACAACAATTACAAAGGATGAATATAGGCAAACAATACAGGAATGCAGAAGCAAGATTAGAAAGGCAAAGACACAAAAACTCAAACTAGCTACAGGCATAAAGGGAAACAAGAAGACATTCTATAAATATATATCAAGCAAGAGGACGACCAAGGACAGGGTAGGCCCATTGCTCAGTGAGGAGAGTGAAGCAGTAACAGGAAACTTGGAAATAGCAGAGATGCTTAATGACTTCTTTGTTTTAGTCTTCACCGAGAAGTCTGATGAAGGAATGCCCAACACAGTGAATGCTAGTGGAAAGGGGGTAGGTTTAGAAGATAAAATAAAAAAGATGTCTTCGAGTCACAATGTCCTGATGAAGTGCTTCCTAAAATACTCGAGGAGCAGATAGAGGAGGTATCTGAGCAGTGAGCTATCATCTTTGGAAAATCATGGAAGCGCCACATGAACTGATTCTCATTAGTAACTGAATTCCATAATTGTCCTTGAGGTTCTGTCAAGAATTTGGTGGAATGGATCAGCTGGGAGGGGAATGAAGATCAAGAATCCCAGATGTGTTTCCCAATCCTGAGAGAGTAGTTTGGCATCTGTTTTCTGCATTCTTGTGCAGCAAATTCCAATATTTGTAGGAATCGGCTTTATACAAAGTGCTCCCGGCAGCACTAAGCGTTCATTTCCCCCTCTCCACTGTAAGCTCTTTGGGGGCAGGGACTGCTCTTTGTTTTTGTCTTGTCAAGGTCAAACACATTGTGATTGCTTAGCGAAATAATAATAAAGCCCGGGCCATGCTTCATTTAGTAATATTTATTATTGGGTGTCCGTACCGCTGTTGCCTATGGGGCCCTTTGAGGGGCTCCAGCAACATAAATAATTATTATTGTGCTTATAAAGCACCTAGCAGAACAGTACCCCAGTTATGACCGGGGGTCCTTTGGCGCTGCCTCAGAGCAAATAAGAATCCTCCGAAGGTTTTTGCTCCCTAATGATGTCTCTCGCTTTCCCCCCCGGGGTGCATGCCTCTGGCAGTTGCGCTAGCGGCGACCCTTGCGGTATGTGGCTGCCTTTGGCAGAGGCACATGAAGGATTTCATTGAGTGTGAAGACAGAGAGCAGAGACAGAAAGCAGAAGGAGGCGGCTGCAGCCTTTGTAGTCGGGGAGGAATGCGGAAATGTTAAAGCACTATGTCAAACTTTTTTGAAACGGGGTCAAGTCACATTCAGCCAGCGTGGGAAAGCAAGGGGAAAAAAAGTTGAGGGGGTGCATTAACAGGTGTGTTGTGAGCAAGACACGAGAAGTCATTCTTCCACTCTATTCTGCACTGATTAGGCCTCAGTTGGAGTATTGTGTCCAGTTCTGGGCACCGCATTTCAAGAAAGATGTGGGGAAATTGGAGAAGGTCCAGAGAAGAGCAACAAGAATGATTAAAGGTCTAGATAACATGACCTATGAAAAAAGACTGAAAGAATTGGGCTTGTTTAGTTTGGAAAAGAGAAGATTGAGAGGGAACATGATAAAGGTTTTCAGGTATCTAAAAGGGTATCACAAGGAGGAGGGAGAAAAATTTTTCTTCCTGACCTCTGAGGATAGAACAGGAAGCAATGGGCTTAAACTGCAGCAAAGGAGGTTTAGATTGGACATTAGGAAAATGTTCCGAACTGTCAGGGTGGTTAAACACTGGAATAAATTGTTTAGGGAGGTTGTGGAATCTCCATCTCTGGAGATATTTAAGAGTAGGTTAGATAAATGTCTATCAGGGATGGTCTAGACAGTACTGGGTCCTGCCAAGAGGGCAGGGAACTGGACTCGATGACCTCTCGAGGTCCCTTCCAGTCCTAGTATTCTATGATCACATAGAGAGACAACGTAGAAGAGAAGTGAGAAAAGTATACAGCCTTGCCTTATACACATAACAATCTTAAATCATTCCATGTCACTGCTGTCTGTCCTGATACAGCATGCAGATTTGTCACATGAAACCTCAGTTTCCCAACCTGCAAAATGGGCAAAATATTGTCTGGCAGCTCATCTTACTGTATAAATGTAAATGATATCGTCTAGGGAAGAATAAAGTATTCAAGAAATTTTGAAGTAATGTGATAGTAAAGATGCCCTTTAAAAATAGCTTTTATTCAATAGTGACTGAGTCTTCTGATCTGCTGGAAGATGTACAAAATAGCTACATTTTGTTTACAAGAGTCATAAAGGACTTGATCACGTGTCTCTGGAGTAAGACATTGGATAGAGAAAACATGCACATTTCTTGCTTTAAAATAATGGGCCATATTCCACTGACACATATATATGAATAACTGCATTTACTTCATTCATCAAGAGGGGGAGTAACTGAGGACAGAACTTTCCCCTTTGAGTTTGGGCAGCTTTTGGAAATGTATATTAAAAAACCCCATAGCATGTTTCCGAGAATCATAAATTAGTGGCTGTCATGGCTGGTTTTATTTAAGACAATGAACACATAAGACAAATGAAATATAGTCCTGCACATTTGTACATTCTATAGGCTTACCTCTTAGTTCGGTGTTAGTGCTGAGCTAAAAGTATTTACAGACGCAATATTTCTGAACACAAATAGGAAGCAAGGCATCGTTTTTTGCTAGGGTATGTCAGTGCTATGACAGGGGCATTCCATGGATCTTACTCCATTTAATTGCACTGATTTCTGGCCAATGTGTGGTGGGAAAGGCACTGTCATCAGTGAAATGTATATACTATGTTTCCAGTTTAAAGGAAAGTGAAAGGCATGTTTGGTAAATATAATTTTTTCCATAGTTCATCTGAATCTTAAATTAAATTTGCATTGAGCATATACTTGAGAGAGATCAGTTGGGCTACGTCTACACTTCAGTGGTATTTCGGAATAGTGGAGGTATCCCAAAATAGCTACTCCGTCTCTTTTGAGCGTGCCCATTATATTTCAAAATATAACGGGCTCTCTATTCCAATGTCCCTCTAAATGTCATTCCATGAGGAGTAAGGGACATTTCAGAATAGCAATTTATTTTAAAATAAGTGCTGCGTAGACAGCGCCAAATTTTGAAATAAGTTATTTCAAAATTAACTATAAATAAGCTACGCAAGTTGCAGAGCTCAAACTGCGTAGCTTATTTCGAGCGCCGGGTGCAGTGTAGACACACCTTTGGTGAAATTCTGTGACTTGTGTTACTTAGGAGGCAAGAATGGATAGTCATAGCCATCCTTTCTGACCTTATAAACAACATCTGAATCAGATTTTGCCCTCTGTAGCTTATATTAGCCAAACTGATACTTTTAAAAAGTTTTTGTGAATGGAAATAATTTGGCAAAAAATTCCCCCAGTAATAATTACTACTCCATAAATGAAACATTGGGCTGGGTTTTCAAAGGTATAAATAGAAGCAGGTGCAATAAACCACCATTGACTTCCAGTGGGAACAAAGCTGCTTTTTTTTTTTTAAAGTTGTCAAAGTTTCATCATTGGTTCCAATGATGCATGTTGTACACATGGGCAGCTTCCCTGGATTTCATTTGGATTCTGTCCTCAATAGTACAGGGGTCTGCTCATGTAGAGTTATTTTTAGGACTGGGTCTAAAATATTAAGTCTTACCTTGGGAATACAAATGTACAGGACTCTTCCAATGCTTTCCCAGTGATATTGTGCAGGAAATTCAGTCTTAGCTGTGCATGGACAGAAGAACACCAACACATAACAGGTCTAAGCACCCTGAAGAAAAAATAGCCCAATTAAACTCTTTTAATGCTTGGATTTGTCAGAGCTAGCCCTAGATTGTCACTGACAACTCAAAATATGTCAGAAATATAATTAGCTAGAGTCTTGGAGGACCCATGGCGTATTAGATCCAATGTTGGCTAAACCACCCCTCATAAAATCTTCAGCTAAGGACAGATTGTCCTAAATTCTGATCTTCTAGTTCATGCAGAGCTACTCTGTGTGAGTCAGGGGATCTGAGCCTAGCTCAGAGGAACATTTAAAGAGTTGTTACCCATTTTCCCTCCTGCCAAGCAAGATCTAATTCTGAAAAGGACTGTGTCTGAGCTGCACAAGTACATTCTTCAGAGAGCACTTTGGACCTCAGTGGAGCAAGTTTCCTCAACAAGAAACCAGATCTCTTTATGTAGATCTTGCCAGGCTGAAGCATGGTACAACATTTATCCATTTGGAATAACTTCAGAATAGTTCCTGTCCATAGATGTGTGGGACTGGAAAGGATGTCAAGAGGTCCAGTGCCCTGCACTCAAGGCAGGACTGCATAATAATTAAACCATTCCCGAGAAGTGTTTGTCTCACTTATTCTTAAAAGCCCTCAATGATGCACGCTACATAATCCCTAGGCAGTTTCTCCCAGTGCCTAACTACCCTGACAGTTAGGAAGTTTTCCTGATGTCCAACCTAAATGGCCCTTACTGCAATTTAAGCCAATTGCTTCTTGTCCTATCCTCAGAGGTTAAAGAAAATATTTTTTTGGCCTTCCCTTTATAACAATCTTTTATGTGCATTGCTTTTCCAGATTAAACAAACTCAGTTTGTGTGACATTTTCTCACAGGTATGTTTTCTATATCTTTACTCTTTTTTTAAAAGCTTTCCTACGGACTTTCTCTACTTTGTCCACATCTTTCCTGAAATGTGGCATCCCTAACTGGACATCTACTCCAGATGAGTCCCAATCTGCACCGAAGAGAAAGAGAGAATTACTTCTTGAATTTGATTACAACACTCCTGCTTATATATCTCAGAATGATGTTTCCTTTTTTTTTTAATACTGTGTCTCACTGTTGATTCACATTTAGCATAAAATCTACTAGAACTCCAAAATCCCTTTCTGCAGTGCTACTTCCTAGGCAGTCATTTCCCATTTGTATTAGTGCAATTGTTTCTTCCTTCATAAGTGGAGTACTTCTTATTGAATTCCATCCCGTTTATTTCAGACCGTTTTTCCACTTTGTATAGATCTTTTAGAATTTTAACTCTATCCTACAAAGAACTTGCCACCCTTCTACACTTGACATACACTGACAAAGTTTGTAGACTCTGTCATTATCTAAATCATTGATGAAGATATTAAACAGAACCCTTCCCCCTCTAAATAGAGCCCAAACTTCATCACTAAATATAAGGGTCTGAATTCCAATTTCAATTAAGTTTGTTCCTAGGCAAATAGAATCAGCCTCAGTTACACTTGTTTTTGACACACACTGAAAATGCTTTTAAATATGGGTTGAAAAATACAGCGCTTGAGCATTCAGGTTAGACATAGTGGCTACGTCTAGACTGGCCCCTTCTCCGGAAGAGGCATGCAAAGCAGGCAAGTCAGAATAGGGAAATCCGTGGGGGGATTTAAATATCCTCCGCGGGATTTAAATAAACATGGCCGCCGCTTTTTTTCCGGATTGGGGAAAAGCCGGAAAAGAGCGTCTAGACTGGCGCAATCCTCCGGAATAAAGCCCTTTTCCGGAGGATGCAAGTAGGAATAAGAGAATAAGAGATCCTCCAGAAAAGAGCTTTATTCCAGAGGATTGCGCCAGTCTAGACACTCTTTTCCGGCTTTTCCCCAACCCGGAAAAAAAGCGGCGGCCATGTTTATTTAATCCCACGGGGGATATTTAAATCCCCCGCGGATTTCCCTATTCTGACTTGCCTGCTTTGCATGCGTCTTCCAGAGAAGGACCCAGTCTAGACGTAGCCAGTTTGGAAAGGCAAAACCATTTGGAGACAGAGTTAGGCTCCTGTCATATCCAAAAAAACATTTAAGGCCATTTAAAAATACTTTTCTCAAGTTTACATGATTCCCCTACACTAGGAAAGCAGTCCAGAATTGACAACAGGCTTTCCCACTTCCCCTCCCCTGTAGTCTCTCCCTCAATAGCAAGACCTTTGGCAACAGCTGTTCTGGAAAGCTTGCAAAGCCAGGTTACAGGAGATAGGCCCCATGCTTACTGAAATGGGAACTGAATCAATTTGGCCCTTTCTGCATTAAAATAAAAATTTTCAAAGCCAGTTGGGGGTGTATGGGACACCAGCAGACACATGTAGTCTGACACCAATTGTCTAAGATATGCAATTTCCTCTTGTAAGTAGGGCCATGCCCCACATAAAGCCATGTTTAAAGGTGTCACTGACCAGCCTCTGTGCTCACTCATGGCCGGGCACAGTATAGCAGTCCTTTTGATTCCAGCAACCCCTGGTGAATGGCCATTCAAGGGATGGTTTATCTCTTCTCACAGCTCAGTGCTCTGGCCAGATCACTTACTGCCCCACTACTTCCCAGAGAATAAAGAATCCAGAGCTTCAACCTAACTTTGGACATGATAGTTCTTGCCCCTTTCCCCTTTGCATCAGGAGGACTTTTACTTTCCCTTCATTGCAAAGCAGGGGCGGGGCAGTAGAGGAACCCAGGCTCTCCCTCTCCTCTGGTATCTAGCCCAGGAACTCTGGATTAAACAGCTACAGTCGGCTTCCATTGTTGTTTCCCTGGGCCACGTCCTACCTTCATCTGCCTCCTGTCCCTTTCACAGAGCAACTCCTTCCAGTGCTTTTTGCCTGTAGGTTCCACATCCTAGTGCTGCTTCTCACAAGCTTGTGGCTGATACAGAGTCCCCATAGGCTCTCTGGCAGTATGCAGCTCCTTGCAAAACACGCCTCCTGCAGCTCTCTGGAAGATTCCGTGGCCCCTCATGTAAAATACATCTATATACACAGTAACTATGCCCCTACAATGCTGCTATTTACTTCTGGGATGGTGGAGGGACATTTTATTTGAACAGCAAACAAATGCCTTGACCAGAAAGTTTGAAGGAACAATTTAATGCTCCACTTTAAAAAAAAAAAAAAAGTTAAGAGATTGACCTGGTGTGAGCATTAAATCAACATCATTCAGTTATTTACAGTCACAGTTCAAGGCTAACAGCACACAATAAATATAAAGTTCATTCTGGCCCAAAGCTAATATTGTGTAATACATCTGCAGATGCACAATGACAAGCTGTTCAGAGCCTCTGCTTTTGTTATCTGCAGGGAAAAAAATCTGAGGAGGGTGATGAGTCTTGCACGGTGCCAGAACCAAGTGGAAAGCAAAAGGTGTTCCAAGCACATTGGAATATTTCATCAATATCAGAGATAGGCTCACAGATTTCAGCAGGTGGAAAGAACTAACCCAATCTATTGGAACAGAGCAACAGCTGTCCTGGATTATAACACTGGTCCAACCTGTCTAGTATCTTGCCTTTGATAGTGGCCAGTATCAGATACTTTTGAGCAGTGATTCTCAACCTTTCCAGACTATGGTAACATAAATTCATTGGAATATAAATATTGCACTTGTATTTCAGCATAGAGTACATAGAGCAGTATAAACAAGTCATGGTCTGTATACAATTTTAGTTTGCACTGACTTCTCTAGTGCTTTTTATGTAACCTGTTGTAAAACTAAGCAAATGCCTAGATGGGTAGATGTACCCTCTGGAAGACCTCTGCTCACCCCCCACAGCTTTAGAGGAGAGGGCAAGAAACCTCATATCATAGAATGACCCACCTAGAGGGGAAGTTTCCATTACTTAGTGATTGGCTTATGTTCTGATTCATGATGGTTTGTATTGGTTATTTTACATATATATAACAACTGTGGCTGTTTTCATTATTTATATAAAATTCCTAATTTTTTTTAATCCTACTAAGTACACCAGTGCTATCTTGTGGCAGAGAGTTCCACAGGTTCTGCATTGTGTGAAAAGAGTGTTTTCTTATATCCGCCTTTCAATCTACTTGTTTTGGTAATGGCAGAATGGGTGCATAGATGAGCCTGATTAACCTTCTCAGCTATGTTCATTATTTTGTTTCCCCTGCTATTTATCTATTGGTTAAAGCAGACAGTCCCAATCTTTTCACTCTCTCATCAGATGGAAATCTGTCCCTATCCATTTCTGTTACCCATCACACTGTTTCTGAGAGATCCTTTTTGCGACTGTGACCTCATCTTCGAGGGTACCAGAGCTGAACATAGCTGAGGCCCTGTCTAAACTAAAAAGAAGATAGCCACGCCCATGATCAACCTTCTGGAGTTCAGGTTAGCAAGTTTGGTTAAAATTCACTAAATTGAACTCAGAGGGAACTCTCAGCGCCATGTGGTACTCCTTCCTTTGCAAGGAGTAAGGGAAGCCAATAGGAGCATTTGCTCCCATAAGCCTACTGCTAGAGGGAGGCTATGAAGCTCAGCTTAAGGAAAGCTGACTAACTACATAGTCTACATATTAATTTGTGATCCATGCTAGCCCCCAAGCCCTTTTCAGCAGAACAACTACCTAGCCAGTTATTTGTAGTTGTGCATTTGAGTTTTCATTCTGAAGTGGAGTACTTTGCACTTGTCTGTTGATTTCAAATCAGTTCTCCAATTTGTTAAGGTTGTTTTAAATTCTAATCCTGTCTTCCACCCCTCCATCTTAGTGCCAAAAGCAAATTTTATGAGCATACTCTTTACTCTGTTATCCAAGTCATGAATAAAAATATTGAATAGTACTGGATCCAGAAATGACCCCTGTGGGTCCCTATTAGATATGTCTTCCCATTATGACAATGGATCATAGATAACTACACTTTGGTCATGTCTAGTCTGGCATGATTTTCCGGAAATACTTTTAACGGAAAAATTTTTCCGTTAAAAGTATTGCCGCAAAAGCGTGTCTAGATTGGTCCTGGAGTTATCGTTATAACGATGCGCTTTTGCGCAAAAGAGCATCTACAGTAGCAAGACGCTTTTGCGCAAGAGCAGAAGCCCGGAACCATTTTGAAGAGGGCAAAAGGGCACCAGCCCTTTCCGTGGGCAGGGGCTGGAGCTCCTTTGAGACACGTGCTTAAAGGGATCTCCCTGGACAGCTGTTTCTCTCCTGCTGCGTGCTATAGGACCTCTTGCAGGGACTGACAGCTGTAGCAGTTTTGGTGGTTGCCCTCTGCCTTTTTGGTCACCACTGCCTTTTACCACTTAGTGCCTTTGCTTGGTTTTTTTTTCATCTCCCTTGTTTTTTTTCTGCCATGGAGCCAGGGGTGGCCATGTGCCTGCTCTGGCCCCTGCCGGCCATTTTGGAGTGCCTGCAGCTGATGCTCCAGGCTGCTGCCCTCCTGTTCCAGGACCTGGAGGCGCAGATCGCTTTGGACTCCCTCACCACGGAGGCCATGGCGTCCCTGTGGCATCCCCACCCCAGCGTGGAGAGGCCACTGTGCAGACTGGACACCAGTACGGACTGGTGGGACCGGCTGGTCCTGGGGCAATGGGACGACCAGCAATGGCTCTGGAACTTTCACATGCGAAAGCAGACGTTCCTGGAGCTGTGTGCCTGGCTCGCCCCTGCGCTCCAGAGAGCCACCACTTGGCTGTGGGCACCCATCCCCGTCAACAAGAGGGTTGCCATCACAGTCTGAAAGCTGGCCACCCTGGACAGCTACCGATCGGTGGCACACCAGTTTGAGGAGGGCAGATCAACCGTCGATGTCATCATGATGGAGGTAAGTCCCAGGGGGAGTGGATGAGGGGAGGGTGTTGCACTCCATGCCCAGGGGAAGCCATAACTACAGGCTGGGTCACCCAGGGGCTGGGGTTTGGGCCGTCCCTCCCTTGCACAGGCCTGCTGGTGGGGGGGGAGGCCATGGGGCGAGAGGGCCCTAGTGTGTGTGTGTGCATGTGTGTGTATGTGTGTGAGTGCGTGAGGACAAAGGGAATCATGGCAGGGGGGTCCAAGGGAGTGCACATTCATCCCTGCCTTATGTGATGAGTTCCCTTAAGGCATCACGGGGGGGCCCAAGGGAGCACACACTCACCCTGCCTTTTGTGATGTGTTCCCTGTGTTTCTGTGCACGTCATCCACGCCATCAACGACGTCCTGCTCCCTAGAGTCATCCACCTGCGGGGGAGCCCTGGATGCAACCCACATCCCCGTCCGGGACCCGGATCATTGAGCGGCCCACTTCATGAACAGGAAGGGGTACTGCTCGATTGTACTCCAGGCCCTCATGGACCACCGTGGCCGCTTCCTAGATGTTTATGTGGGCTGGTCCGGCAGGGCACACGACTCCCGCATACTACGCAACTCCGGCCTGTTTCTGTTACTGTCGGGGATGTGCCTATACCCATATGTGTCGTCGGGGACGCGGCCTACCCCCTTCTGCCCTGGCTAATGCAGCCCTAGGTTCAGTGACCACCAGGCCCGGTTCAATGACCACCTCAACCGGGCCCGCAATCACGTGGAGTGCGCCTTCGGCTGCTTGAAAGCCCGCTTCCGGTGTTTGCTCACCCGTCTCGAGATGGGTGAGCGGAATGCCACGGAGGTAGTGGCTGCGGGCTGCGTGCTCCACAATCTTGTGGAGCGGAGTGGGAAGGCCTTCCTCCCTACATGGATGGCAGCCGAGGGCCAGGCCTATGAACAGCCCCACAGAGCTGCCATCCGCCAAGCGCACCAGGATGGGGTGCACATCCGGGAGGCCCTGACGGACATGTTCGCCCAGGCCCCATAGTAGGGTCGCCTCGGTCTCCCTTTACAACTCTCTCCCATCCCCTCCCCTTCCCTCCCAATAAACACCAAACAAAGTTTTGTTATGAACAGAAAAAACTTGTATTTTTTTTTATTTACAAGAGGGGGAGGAGATCTTGAACTTGGAGAGGGAGGAGATCTTGAACTGGGAGGGGGAGGAGCTACTCCTGGATGGGGTGGCCCCTGAGACCGCTCATGCGGGGACGGACCTGCGAGGGCAGCCTCATCGGGGCAGGCTGCACGGGGAGGTGGGCAGGAGGGGAAGGAGCAGGATGGGCAGGGGCGGCCATTGCAGGAGGGGAAAGGGGCAGTGCTAGCAGAGGGATGGCGGGGGCATGGCCAATGTTGGCGGTGAGGGTGGCAATTGAATCCGCCATGTGGACACAGTGGGCCTGGAAGATGCCCCAGGCCTCCTGGTGCCACTGCAGGTCCACCTCCATGTGCTGAGTGATGGCTGCCTCAACACGCTCGATGGCCTGCATGTGGTGCCGAAAGAGCTGGTCCCGGTGGCAGAGCCGCTGCCTCGGTGGTTGGGCGGCTGGGGGTGCCTCTGCTGCTGCCGGACTGGAGGGTCCCCGGCTTGAGCTTGGTCCCGTTGCAGGGAAGAGAAGAAAGGTTGGGTCAGTCAGGCAGCCCCGCCACGTCCCGGTGGGGGAGCCACTGCCTCAGTGGTTGGGCGGCTGGGGGTGCTGCTGCTGTTGCTGCTGCTGCAGGACTTGAGAGTCCCTGGCTAGTGCTTGGTCCTGCTGCAGGGAAGAGAAGAAAGGATGGGTGAGTCAGGCAGCCCAGCCACTGTCCCCACACCTCATGCCCTCCCCCCCTGAGCCCAGGTGACACCACAATAGTGTGGCTTGGGCCCACTTGATTAGCCCCCTCCCCTCCGTGTTGTATGTTTGCATACAAGAGCGCCTCTGGAGTAGGGTCCTCCCCCATGTATTGTAACCACCGGTCTGCGTCCTGGCCCCGTAGAGGGTGGGAGGGCGCTTGTGTTGTGTTCACCTGTGGAACTCCCTGCCGGTGGTGACTGTGAGGCTTTGGGCTAATCAATGGTGTTTGACAGGGAGTGAGATGAATCCCCACACAGTGCCTGGGAGCACATCTGGCAGATGTGGTCTCGGCTCTCAGATCCCCATCATGTGGGATGTCTCCTGGACAGAACC